TGACCCGAGCCCCTTTAGCAGAAATATCTCTCTCTCTAAAAGAATCTAGCACAAAGTTGTTCCACTCTTTTTATCACTGTAGTCAGTAAAAACAATTACTTACACCAACAGTTAGCAATGCTAAAAAGGACAACTTTGACTAACTACATCCTTCCTACATAATTAAGTCATCGATTGGACCACAATATAAGTTTAGCCTTAATCCTTTCCACCAACCAGGAACAGTCTTTTTTAGATAGTTTTCTAGGAACTAGAGGAACCCCTAAATACCTTACTGGTAGAGCTCTTAGCTTAAAACCAATAGTCTCATTCACAAGAAACATAATATCATCAGGCATCCAAAAAGCAAATATTCCTATTTTGGCAGTATTTAGCCTAAGCCCTGAAAGCTTATAAAACTAATCTAATACACTCCTAACCCCCAAGATAGAATCCACAGTCCTTTTACAGATGATAAGCAAGTCATCTACAAAACACAAATGAGTGAGTTCAACCTTCTTACATTTGGGGTGATAATTGAAAATTATTTTTCCTACAACAACATCCAACAAATAGAAGAGAGCATTAATATCAAGAAAAGAAATATAGGGGTATAGGGGATCTCCCTACCAAACTCCTTTGTCTCCCCTGAAATATCCCACCAAGGTGCCATTGAAGGTATGGAAAATCTAGGACCTGTCATACACACTTCAATCCACTTGATGAACTATTCAGTCAACCCTAATCTCTTCAACACATTCATAATAAACCCCCAATTGACTGAATCAAAAGCTTTCTAAAGATCAACTGTGATTGCACATCTCGAGGATAGAGTTTTTTTGCCATAACTTCTTACCAGTTCCTGGGCTAAAAGGGTATTATCCACAATGTTCCTACATTTCACAAAGGTAAACTGATTTAGGGAGACCAGACTAGGGAAATAAAGAGAAAGCATAGCCACCAAAATCTTAGTTATGGTCTTATAGACCACTGAACAACATGCTATAAGCCTAAAGTCCTTAGCCTTACTAGGGTTAGGCAACTTAGAGACAAGAGTGATGGCAATAACATTGAAAACATGAAGAAGATCTTACTCTGCAAAAAAATCTTCACTGCAGCAGTAAAATCCTCTCCCATAATGTCTCGTGCAGTCTGGAAAAACCCTGATGTGAATCCATCAAGCACAAGGGCTTTGTCATTCCCTTGACTAAAAATGCATCCTTGATCTATTCCCTAGAAACCTCCCTAATAAGGTCCACTCCAGCTTCAGTAAGCAATGAATAATTAAGCAACCCTCGTAAAACCTTCACCTCACACTCTTTTACCTTATCATATACTTTACCTATTTGCCCATTGAAAAACCTCACCAATTTAGAGGATATAATCTCAAAAGTTTTCAACTTAATCCCACTTCACTGCAATTTGGGATTGAAAAAAATTTAGTGCATTGATCCCTATCTTAAAGGCACACAACTTTGACCTTATGCTGATAGAAAAGCCCCTCAACTTTCTCTAGATCAGCCAGCTTCAACATCAAATTTTTATCATCTAAACTACCCACACCAGGATTAGATAAGTTGAAAGCTGTTGTTTTTCCAGTTGTTCCCTTTTCTCAGTCACCTTTCTTGAAATATCAGCATAACGCTCTTTGTTTAATCTCCTCAGAACTGTCTTCAATCTCTTAAGCTTGCAGAAAAGCACTTGCATAAGATCTCCCTTCATTTGAACCTCCCAAGATCTCTTGACAATGTCCTTAAACTCAGGGTGAAAAGCCCAAAAATTAAAGTAATTATATGGCTTATACCTAGAAGCCAAATTATCTTTGCCAAAAATCCCCCACAGCTAAACAATGGTCTGAAACCCCAGGAACCTGAAACTCCATAGAGGACTCAAGAAAACTGTCAGACCAACTAGAATTGACAAGCATTATATCCAGCTTCTTTGCAAGGAAACCCTCGTCATGTTTGTTAGACTAAGTAAAAATAAGGCCAATGAAAGATGATCTACACCCCAAATCCCCCTTATAGTTCTACAAATTCTCCATTTCAGAGGTGACATGAAGCCTACCTTCCTCAACATTAGAACTCTTACTGATATCATTAATGATTTTAAAATCCCCTATAATCCAAGGGGGATATTTAACCAAAGAACTAACCATCTACAACTGTTGCCACAAACCCTTCTTAACATAACTATCATTGCTGCCATAGATAACAGAAATGAAAGCATCCTTACCCCCTAATCTACCAGCTAAAGAAATAGACTGATCAGTAACATGCAACATAGAAAAACTAATATGTTTCTTCCAAAGCACCCAAATCTTACAATTCCCCACAGCAGAATAATCCCAATAGTAATTCCAATTATCAACATAACTGGCAATAATAAAAGAAACATTATGTTCTCTAACTCTAGTTTCAAATAATCAAATAACCTCAACCATATGCATTACCTTACTCTATTTTTTGGGGGTGATTAATCCCCCAAACATTCCAAAAGATCATAGTCATAACAAAGGCGAAGAGTGTATACCTCATGCTGCTGAACCAACATCCAATGACCTCTTCAATTTAGTATGATGATATTTCTTCTTACTCTTCATTTCTTTCAAGATGTTAGAAACTATTTGCGAGGCAAGCCTTGTCTACCAATCTACTCCATCTCCCTCCTCACAACCAGCAACAAGGATCTCAAACTTGTTTGAAGAATAGGCAAAACTTGCATGCCCCATCTCCCCTCTCTTTTCCCTTCCCTTTTTTTTTTGAGACTGAGGATCAAGAGAAGGAAACTCAGTGAGCCTTGAATCTTCAACCTTCCCTTCATTACCATGCTTCAACTGATCTGTATTAGTTCCAACCTCAACAACTAAATCACCCTCCACAAAACCATTCGTAGATTCCACATCCCCATCACCCTCTAGAGTGATAGAGGCATATTTCACAAGATTATTTTCCTCAAATTGGTCTCCGTCCTTCCCATTTTGAACACTAGAAGTAGATTCTACTAGAATTTTATCCTTCTTCACACTTCATTCCTTCTACCTTTGATCATTTCCCTCAGTACAAAGTTTATCCGAATGCCCAAACTTCTTGCACCTAGAAGAACAAGAAGGAAACCAAGGCACCACCACCTTCAATGCAACAATGGTACCATCACCATCCCTACAGAGATCTCCCTAGGCAACTAGGCACAAGGCTCCACGTCCATATAAACTTTAGCATACTCTATCCTCTCTTTATTTACAGTGATTGAATCCATATATAAATGTTTCCCCAAAGCACTCGAAATATAACTTAAATCTTTTTTGGAATAGAATTCCAAAGGCACATTGAACATATGTACCCTAGACTAACTTATAATCATCACATACTATTCAAAAAATTAATAATAATATTTAGTTTTATTTAGTAAATAGAATAATAGAGTAATTTTCACTCTTTAAAAAGTATTCTTTACAATCTAGAAAAAAATCTAATTACATTAACCATTTATTTTTTTAATAAACATCAAAAGAGTAAAAATTAGTTTGTTAAATAATGAAATTACAATCACACAGAGAAAAAGAAAAAGAAACTAGATAATTTTAAAAATATAAAATAGGCAACCAAACATCACTATTAGTAATGAATGATAAACACCATCAACAATAATATAATAATGATAGACCAAAAGGACAATCAAATAAATGTATACCGAAAAATAACGGTAAATTAAATTTTAGAAATGAATTTTTTTTTACAAGAACAAGTAGAGACATTCATAACTTTTACAAGAAAAAATGAAAATTTATTAAATAAAATTACATAAAAATTTAAATATATAAAAATAAGAGTATAATATTAAGAGGGTAGAAAAGAGAAAAATAAAGTGAGAAACAAAACACAACCAAAATTACGATTAAACATGTAAAGCACTTCAAAAGAAAAAGAATGAGTGATAAACACTTGAACCAAAGGTGGATGGTGTTACTCTTGTAAACAAATTATAAAAAATTTCTAATAAGGCATAATATAAAAAAAATAGCCCCCAACGTTTTTTCATTTTGGCCCATATTTTTTTAAGTATTTTGACCCTCAACGTTTCATTTTAGGGCAAAAACCCCCCTTCTATAGATCAAAACTATTAGCTAACACATAATTAACGCTCTAAAATATGAGTCTTTTCAACCTAAAATTTGAGTACTAAAACGCTATAGAAAAAAAGGAACAATGGTCAAAGTGATTATTTTGTCAAATGTCAAGGACTTTTTACCTTAAAATGAAATATTGGAGGCCAAAATGCTCCCAAAAAAATAGAATGGTAACCAAAATGACCATTTTAATAAACGTTGAAGGTTAATTTTGATATTATGCATTCTAATAAAATGAAGATAGACATGTGGGGTCTCAATATTATATTTTGTACTATACTATTTGTACTCATATTACCAACTAAGAATTATTCGAATGCATCCATGACACGGTATTATTCATTTTGAAAGTCTAAAGAATATTCTCACGGCTGAGAATTTTTTTTCCCAACACTAATTCTCTAGTTAAAGGTGTGAATTAGACGTTTATTTAGGGTTTATTTATGATATAAGTAAAACTGTGTTTGTTACCAGACATTGTCTACTTCAATTATGTTAGTTTTCTTAAGAGTACGATGTCTCGATTTTTATTTACAAAATTAAATCTAAATATTTCAAGTAACAAATCAATTAAACGATCTCAATTACTAAAATAATATTACTTTTTAGGACTCAAATTCAGATAACTCTATTTATAAAATATGTACATATTTTTATTTATAAAAATATTTTAAGTCCGTAAGGATCGTATAATATTCTTACAACTATGTCTACTTTGAGAGATATCACAATGGATGGTTCCCATGCAATACATAAAATGTGGGGACCGCCCGATTGACAAGATCCCATAAGCACAAACGACGACCATCGATTGTGCTCAAATCGCTGTTAATAATTCCACTCCCCCTCAAGCTACAACTAAGCCCTTTATATTGCATTGTTTTATTCCAAACGCTTCATCATCTCTCTTACATAATAACCGAATAGTTCAAGAAAGTTTACAAAACAGGAGAGACATAGTCGATGGCTAAACAGATGCAGAAGACCAGCATGTTCATCGAGCGAACTCCCGGCGAGTACGAGAATGGCGATATCCAAAAGAACTTGGATGACGACGGTCGATCCAAGAGAACGGGTAAATAAAAGTTACTGTTTACAGTAGTATCTATTTAGATGTTTTCTTAGTCTATTGATAACATTCACACCTTGCAAATATGACCATATGTAACTTTTGATTTTGACGTGGCTCTGGTTTTTTTTTTTTTTGAAAGGGACTTGGGTTACCGCGAGTGCTCATATTATCACTGCAGTGATTGGGTCTGGTGTTTTATCTCTTGCATGGGCTATTGCACAACTGGGATGGGTGGCAGGACCGGCGGTTCTCATGGCTTTCTCCTTCATAACTTACTTTACTTCCACTCTTCTTGCTGATTGTTATAGAGCTCCTGATCCTGTCCATGGGAAGAGAAATTATACCTACATGGATGTTGTTAGAGCTTACTTAGGTATTAATATGTACTAAATGATGGATTTTACAGTTCCAAGAAAAATATGTTTTCGAAGCGAAATTACTTCTTGATTATGCGTGTGTACATAAATATTTTCTTTTTCTTTTCTCCAGGAGGAAGAAAAGTTCAGCTCTGCGGATTGGCTCAGTATGCAAATCTTGTTGGGATAACCGTTGGATACACTATCACAGCATCAATCAGCATGGTGTAAGTATACAGATAGTCAAAAAGAAAATTTGGTATAATGTCAAAAAAATGTCTCTAAATGTTTGATTATTTTTATTCATTTATTTTAAAGCATTCAAATTTCATTTTAAGGCAAAAAAGTCTATAATACTTGACTAAATAGTTATTTTAGCCTTTATTTTTTTAGCATTTTGGCCCTAACTTTTTTATTTTATGACAAAAACTGTCCCTATTTTGAAACGTTATTCGTTTGTTGAGTAGAATTCATTGAGCGACTTTAATGTTAAAAATGAGTGTTGTTCTCTTTAGAGGATTCAGGTTTAAGTAACTTTGCAGTGTGTGTGCGCGCACAATTTGTGAGAGGTTAAGAAAATTTTAAACGTAGTACCTTGTGATTACTTTGTTAAGTACATAAGAATCTTTTTATCTCAAAATGAAACTTTAAGGATCAAAATACTTTAAAAAATAAAAATTAAATTAAATATTTAAGCAGACATTAGGGACATTTTTTTGTCGTTATACCAATAGATTTTGTAACTTTGAAGTTTGAATTTCAGATTCTTGTAAAATACCCTTTTTTTTTACTTAATTGTTTCCTTTTGATTAATCTTAATCAATTGTGTTAATTGCCTTGTGAAACATCAGGGCGGTGAAAAGGTCAAATTGCTTCCACAAGCATGGTCATCAAGTGAAGTGCCAAACATCAAACTACCCATTCATGGCCATCTTCGCAGCCATCCAACTCGTTCTGAGCCAAATCCCCAACTTCGACAAGCTTTCTTGGCTCTCCATTGTCGCCGCCGTCATGTCTTTCGCTTATTCTTCCATCGGCCTCGGCCTCTCCATTGCCAAAGTTGCAGGTAAAATCATCAACACCTCACATAATATAACAAAAACAAATTCATTAAAAAAAGTGAACGTAATTGTTTCCATGTATTTGTGACATGAAGGTGGGGGACATGTGAGGACAACCTTAACGGGTGTAACAGTGGGGGTTGACGTGTCGGGATCCGAAAAGGTTTGGAGGACCTTCCAAGCTATCGGCGACATCGCCTTTGCCTATGCTTACTCCACTGTCCTCATCGAGATTCAGGCAAGTACACTTCCACCGTAACATAAATACATATAGACACCGATTTTATATCATGACACAAATTTTAAAAATTATACTAAAAATGGAGATATTTTGGAATAAGTATTTAGATAGTTTGTATATTATTGGGACAAAATGTTTTATCGTATAGACCCACAAATATAACTTCGTGTAAACATATATTTTTTTCATATTTGAATTTATATGAATTCAATTAAAAAATTAAATTACTCAATAGCATAACATATAAATTAATTTATTCTTTTTTAATATAATAAAGAAAAATTAACAATTTATCTTGCATAGGTGAGACCAAGATTCGTATGGACCAAAAAAAAATCAAGTGGACCATAATATTCTAGAGTTTGAGCCACTTTTATTTTCGTAAAAGAGAATTTTTTTTCTTTGTCGATTCCCATGAATTTATTAGCGACGGATTGTGACATCCAGTCTACTTGTGTTCAGCTTTCAACTTTTTATTTTTGTCGCATATAAAGAAAGAAAGAAAGAATCATTTTTCTTAAAAGAGCAGCCTCAAGAATAATTCGTCGCCATAGTCCATGTGAAGTTCTACTTAGCAGCAGCCTTGATATAGAAATGTGTTATTGAATTTGTCATTATTTTTTAATAAAATTGGTAAAAATTACTTAAAATATTATTATTTCTATTTAAAATATTAATTTTTTAACATGTTTGGTAAAATGTCTAATAATAACAAAATTAGTAAAAAAAACCGGTAGTACTTTACTAGATATGTTAACAAAATCGGTAAAACGCTCGATAATAACAAAACCGATAGAATTAATAATATTTCTAATAATTTTTTTACTAGTTTTATTAAAAAATAATAAAAAACCGATAACATCTTTTTTTAGTCGTATATTAAGATTGCCTCACGTGATACTTTCTTGATAGTCCATAGACATGAACAAATTACAAAACAAGAAGTACATTACTGAAACATCTAATCGTCACTATAAACAATTTTAGATAAATTACGTATTTAGTACTTAAATTATTAGTTTTGATCTGCTTTACTATATAAACTTTTATTTTTTTTCAAAACCACACCCAACGTTTAGTTTTTGTTTCATTTTAGTACCTGCTGTTAAAAGCTTAATGCGTTTAGTACCTAAATTATCAGTTTTGATCCGTTTTATTATCTAAACTATCAATTTTTATTCGTTTTAGTACCTAAATTTTTAATTTTTTTAAAACCATACATAACATTTAGTTTTTGTTTCATTTTGGTACCCGCCGTTAAAAGTTTAACATGTTTAGTAACTAAACTATCAGTTTTTGACCGTTTTAGTACCTAAACTTTCAATTTTTTCAAAAATTAACGTTAAGTTTTAACGGATACTAAAATGAAACAAAAACTAAACATTAAATATAATTTTGAAAAAAATGAAAGTTTAAGTACTAAAACGGATTAAAACTCATAGTTTAGATACTAAATATTTAGTTTACCCTTTTTTTGTCTAAGAAAAATGGAATTTTTATGATTACAGGACACAATCAAATCGAGCCCACCGGAGAACAAGTCTATGAAAAGAGCAACTAGTGTTGGTGTTTCGACGACCACTTTGTTTTATGTACTTTGCGGTGTTTTCGGATATGCCGCATTCGGAAACGATGCGCCGGGGAATTTTCTTACAGGCTTTGGTTTTTATGAACCGTTTTGGTTGATTGACTTTGCCAACGTCTGCATTGCCATCCATCTCATTGGTGCATACCAGGTAAAATCTCATATCCTCAACGCATACATGCACATATTCCAAATACTGATAAAAATCTGACACAGTCAGTATTGATATCACCTATAATAATAAAAATAAAACTAAATTGTATAATTACCGTGTAGTAATAAAATTTATTATCTTAGAAGTAATTTAATTTGACTTAATGTAATCTCAAAAGTAGCCGTTGTTGTAAGGTTAACACAGTCTTTAAATTATGTACACCTAAAATTAGAAAGTGAAACTCATTTGGTATTTTATTTTTCGAAGATCTAACTTATCAAACGAGTTTCACTTTCTTATTTTAGGTGATCAAAATTTAAAAAACTATTAATTTTGAAGAATAATATCTACTTTTGAAAATACACCAGACCAAATAACTTCTAAAGTAACTATATCATTTTCTTCTATTTGCATTATCTAACAATAAGCTCTAACCATGATTTACATGCATTCAGGTCTTTGCACAACCGTTGTTCGGGTTCGTCGAGGGTTGGTGTTCGAGGAACTGGTCCGATAACAAGTTCATTACAGGTGAACGCGAGGTTGACATTCCGTTCTACGGAATTTACTACGTTAACTTCTTCAGGTTAGTGTGGAGGACATCATACGTTATCGTAACTGCCGTCGTAGCAATGATATTTCCTTTCTTCAACGATTTCTTGGGTCTCATCGGAGCCGGCTCGTTTTGGCCGTTAACGGTCTACTTTCCGATAGAGATGCACATCGCGCAAACGAAAATTCCCAGATACTCGTTCAGGTGGATATGGTTAAAAATACTTAGCTGGGTTTGTTTGGTGGTTTCACTCGTCGCTGCAGCCGGATCCGTTCAAGGACTGATTCAAAGCCTGAAGACATATAAACCTTTTCAGACTCAAGAATAATACTTTTAATTGTTAACAAATATGAAAAAAATTGTGCAATAAGTAAGAATCTGTAATTTGTTCACCCTTCTTCTGTATTTTGAAATTTGAATGTGCATGTAGTGTGTTACCTTTTGAAAAACAATGTTAAGACAGTTTCTGCGATGTTGTTCATGGAAAATGTTGTTTTTGAAGCGTTATCGAAATATACACAACGCTAGGCCATGCATTACTATCGCAGTAATCTTTCGGGTGGGTCCGGAATTGGGCTTCGACTTGAATAAATGGGTTAGAGTCACCACCGATCATTTAAAAAATATTTAGGTTGATCGTACACCATCTTACCTGATCTGCATTTTACCATAAATATGTCAGATTCGGGAGTCGGTTATAGTTAAGGAAGGATTAACACCCTTGAACTGCCCTTTCGGTACAATTTAATTTGTCGGTTGTCGTAATTGTGAAAATTAAAATTTAAAAAAACGCGATTCAAATTACTTACCTTTGATTGATTAAAATTCCTCTAAAAAGTCAAAAATTTTAGATAAGAAATAATAAATAAATGTTAAATAAATCAAAAGGAAAAAATAAAAAATAAAAAACATAAAAATAAATAAATAAAATAAAATAAAAAATAAAGGTAAAAATATTAAATATTAAATATTAAATAAATCAAAGGGGAAAATATAAAATAAAATAAAATAAAATAAAAAATGTTAAATTTTAAAAGTAATAAAATAAAAGCAATAAGAAGTAAAATAAAAAAATGACAAAATTAAAAGGAGAAGAAAAATGAATAACTAAAAAAAATGCTAAAATTAAAAAGAAAAAAATGAATAACTAAAAGTTTAGAGGATCAAATTGAAACAATTTGATACTAAAAATGAGATGCAAGAGAAAAATAAAGAGTTAGAGGGGTTAAATTGTAAAAAATGTAAATTATAAATAGGGACTGAATTGAATAAATTGAAGATTCAGAGGCCAAATTGAACATAGTGACCAAAATGAATTACGCTTTAAAAGTTGGGGGACGGCGAAAAGGATTAACTATCTCCTAATTACACAAAGGCCTCTCGGCTATAAATAGCCCAAAAACTAAAAAAATAGCATTTTCCTCCAAAACAAAAAAACCTCTCACCCTTAAAAAACTCGGTCAAAAAATTCTAAACTCACCCAAATGACCCTCTCGACCCCGTGAACCCAAAACCGACCCTCAAACCCCCATATCCCAAAAAAAAAAACACTTTACTCAGTGTGGATCTAACAAGCAAGTTTCGAGTTTTCACCTTTTCTGAGGAAAACGTTTCATTTTCCGGCGCTTTTCCTCCAATGTCGTTCCTTCACTGCCCTTGCTCCTTTAGATGAGAAAAAGCCTTAACTTTTTCTGTTTTTGTTGATATTTGGGATGGTTTTTGTATGATTTGCTCTTGTGTTTGCTTCGATATTTTCTGTTGTATTTCGATCTTGTTGTTTTTTTGTCGTATTCTCTGTTGGTTGTGGTTCGTGATAGACTTTGTGGGGTATTTATACCCCATCGTCGGTGGTTCGTTTTCGGTGATCTCAGGTTGTTCCCGATTATTTCGGGACGTCAATGGACTGTTCGTGGGTTGACCGAACACCCCGGGATAGTGCAGTCTCGGGGATCTCGCCCGCCCGTTTCACGTGCTTGGCTCTTGACTTCCCAGAGCGTGTGGCGCCCTCCTGCTAGATATAAAACCCTAATTGGTTTAGGGCTGAATCAAGCCCAAACTCGATTGGGTTTCCTACTGGGCCTTTGTTGGACTTCATTTGGACCTGAAAATAAATAAAAAGAAAAAATTAATAAATAATAATAATAATAATAATATATTATTATTATATATTTTTTCAAAAATATTTCCAAAACTATATAATATATATTTTCAAAAATATTTTAAAACTATATATAATATTTTTTTTAAATGTTTTTAAAATTATATATTATATATGTTGTCAAAAATGTTTTCAAAACTATATACTATATAAGTTTTCAAAATGTTTTCAAAAACTATATATTATATAAGTTTTCAAAATGTTTTTCAAAAACTATATATTATATATATTTTCAAAATGTTTTTAAAAACTATATATTATATATATTTTCAAAATGTTTTCAAAAACTATATATTATATAAGTTTTTAAAATGTTTTTGAAAACTATTTATTATTATATATATATATATATTTTTAAATGTTTTTTTAAAAACTATATATTATAAATTTTCAAAATGTTTTCAAAAACTATATATTATATATATATTTCAAAAACTATACGATATTATTATATATAAAAAAAACTCCGGATGAAAATGGGTGTCTACCGCTACCATAATAACCGATAAAACAAATCATAGAAGATCCTGTATTAAACCTGCACTTTTATATCTTTACTTAAAATATAAATAAACTAATCCTTACATTATTTTTTATTAGCCAACATCCTTTTTCATTAATGACGTTACTTAATCCGGTTAAATGCTGCAGAACAACGGTGAGCTGAAAGCCACGCCATCCGATATGGTAGATTAGTTGGTTTGGAATTAGAACTTTGGCTTCAGTTACAGGTCTTTAGGCATCCAACTTAAATATTATTTAAGAAATACTACCCAACATCAATCGGTTATAGTCTAGTTGGTTAGGATATTCGGCTCTCACACGAAAGACCCGGCACGGAATTTTAATGTTTTTTTTAATATGGTAAGGCAGTTGATGAATAATCACTATCCCATCGACTGTTTCCTTGGGCATTAATCCATGAAACCAATTAAATATTAGTTGCTATCATCTGCTCCTAATTCCTCTGGCGAAGCTTAATTCTTGGGCAACAATGGATCATCATGACCTTTTGCAGACAAAGCTTAAACTACGACAACTACAAATTTTGATGGTGTCTATATTTGGATCTCTCAAAAATAATTTTGTTAAAACAGAACCAAAGACATGATGGTAAAATATAGTCATGGTTAAGGTGCTGTGGAAATTTGTATTTGACTACCGAATGTTAAGTCCAGGTGAAGCATAAACTTAGTTTATTGTTTTACTTGCCTGCAATCTCTCTCTTGGTTTATATCCTGCTAGGTCGATAGTCAACATTTTGTTGTTTAAACGTTCAATATTTAACTGCATCAACCTCGGCATGTAGTTGCTGTGGTGTAGTGGTTATCACGTCAGTCTTACACACTGAAGGTCCCCAGTTCGATCCTGGGCAGCAACAACTATTATACCACTCAAAATTTTGAACTCCTTCCCTCCTTAATATTAACTTGTCTAATATCGCCTCATATTTATGTTGCAAAAGATAAACGTAGGTTGTTCGAGTAAAATCATCAACAATGCTCTGATTGAATTCTTTGAAATGACCTTAACAACAAAATTACCAACATTCTGATATTAGTTGGGCTTAAGTTTGATTAGTGCACGAGTTATTCATACTTCTCTTTGTATAGAATTGAAATCGGTTGCATTGTGTTCTTGATTGAAAGCAAATAAAATTGTTTGGGGAAAATGTTACATGACTCGCGAAAAATTGTTACATAACGAGAACCAACAAAATTACTGGTCTTTTTTAAGAGAATTAGTTGATATGGTGGGATGAAGCATTAAATATTTATTTTAAATAATTCTGGCTGGAATTATGGAATACTCTTTTAAGCTTGAGGGTGAATGATTCAAACTTCTAGGTAATTGGTGGTGAATTTAATGTGGTGAGGAATAAGGCCGAGCGAAGCGGTTGTGTGGGTGTGTCTTTGCGGTCAAAAGAGTTCAATTTATTTGCTTATCAATTCCATATTATCAGTCTCGGCTGCGCTTTGGTCTGCATGGTTGTGTCGTAATATATGGATGTTTAATGGGAAGCGTATCTCCTTAAAGGTGTTGTTGTTTCAAGTTAAACTACCGGTGTTGGTTTGGTTAAATGCGCTGAAAGCTAGTATTGTGATTAATGAATCGGCTTGGTGGACAAATTCGAGGGATTGCCTGTCCACGGATTTGAGCTTATTTGGGCGAGCTGTTGTTTGGGGTCCTAGCGGCTGGATTTTCTGAATTTCAGGTGTTGTCAAAGAGGGGTAGGGGGGTTGTCTTCGCTCGCCTTCGGGTTTCATTAGGGCCTTATTCTATGCCCCTTCTTTGGATTGTAGTTCCATTGATTCTGATTTGGAAGCGATAAAAGTAGATTTGGAAGGTTTCCCCCCCCCCCTGGATACAGCTTCTGAGGGAACTAAGTATTTGTTGGTGGTTTCCACCTCTCGTGTGACATTGAATTGAATCTCCACCTCTCGTGTGGCTTTGAATTGGATCTCCAATCCAATCTATCAACCAGGGTTTTAAATAGAACCGTGATAGGACCCGCAAAATAGCGATCGCGCTGTCTTCTGATATGTCTTTTATGGTTGTAATTGCAGTAAACGAGACAAACCGAAAACACGACCGCGACCGTGATTTGAATCCCTGCTATCGACCAATGAAACTTGCGCAGCTGCTGGATGAGATTGAGGCATGATACTTTTAAGGCCTGGCGGTAAGCTTTGTTGGTTTACTATTGGGACTGTGGACTGGGTCGAATGTGGAGCTTGTTGATGTTTCAAATTGGCGTTCAGCTGCTGCTTTATCTCGGTTTAGAGTCCAGCAAATGCCGCTGGTTTGGTGGAGGGCCCTGATTGTGTGTCTTCTTCTCTTCACTTAAGCTTTACTGTTTATTCTAGGCTTTTATGTATCTAGTGTGTGCTTTGATGATTGGATGTGCGTTTAGTTTTGGGCTTTGTGTTGTGTTCCTGCGGTTTTGTCGGTACCATGATCGTTTGCAGCACTGTTTTTCTTTTGCTGGTTGTAAGCTTGGATATTGTGTAGTTTTGCTTCAGGTGGATCTTAGTTAATTATACGTACTCTTTTCTTCCACTTAGGTCTAGAGAGATTTTCAACTAAACATATAACCAAATCGGTTTTGTTTAATCTATAATATTACCTTGTTGATAAAAAATCCAATAATTCTATTGTATTAACAAAAAAATCGATTTTTATTTTATTTTAAAATACATATAAAAAACTTCATTTAAATATATAATAATAAATAACAAACAAATTAATCTAAATATTTATTTATTTATTTTATTTATAAAATTTAAGATTACTTTAGAATACAACACATGTAAATTCCAGAG